TTGACCAGAAGTCGAGATCGCTGTAATGTTGTTAGACATAACACCAAAAGCAACTCGTAGTGACCCAGCTGCACCTGTTGTCAGTTTTCCTGCATTTGGATTACCAGTGGCTGCACTTGCTACCATTACAGGAACTGTAGAACAACCGTTTAGGGAGACAGATGATAAACTCATTAAATCACCAGTTGCAGTCGTGATATCAACGAAACCGGTGTTGAACGTCATGGTTAATTTGATTTGAGGATTTGCAACAAGATCTAATTCTTTGAAGATTGGATGGAGGTCAACTAAGCGAATCTTTAATACATAGTACCACGTACAAGCAACACCACCAGCGGTCGTTACACCTGCTACGTAACCACCAGTACCTTGCTGCTGGATTTTAGCAAGAATAGCGCCACTTCGCGTTGTTGGCCAACCAAGAGGGGTTGTTGCTGTGATCGTTGCTCCAGTGGCATCAGAAGTACCAATTTGTTGTGGATTCCACATTAGACGCTGAATTAATCCGCTATTAAGAGCTGGCGTTGTCTCTGGAATTAAACCAGTAGCTACAGTCGAGGCAGCATTGACTGAATTATTAACAAAACCATCTCCTTGTGTTGAAGTTGCAGGATTACTTCCACTTTGTGAGAAATTAAGACTTGATACATCATCTGGAGCAAGATAGCAATCTGCACCGTTCTTTAATAAATCATCATCACACCATTCAGTTTGAGCACGTAAGTTATTCCAATAATTTTTATAGTCATTGCTCGTGATGACACTTTTACCGTTAATTTCAACCGCTAATTTATCTACAATGTTCCATACACCAGCTTTTAATCTTACCGCAAAACGATTTAAAACTCCATTCAGGGCACTTGCAGAAATATTTTTAGCCGTTACTACATAAGAAACTACTACATATGAATCTCGAAGACTTCCATAACCAGTCGCGCCATTTAGTTGCGAAGTTGCATTGATGATAACGGTTCCTGATTGATACGAACCATTGTTGTCATCAACGACGCTAACAACGCGTTTGTCTTTGCTGACACTGATAACTGGATCAGGACTAGTCGTCGAGTCATATAATAACGAATCTGCTAATTGTGTGCTATCACTCATTACTTAGTCTTACTAATTATTGAAATTGTATGTTGGTGCCTTTATTATGAATAGCTATATATATAAGCATCAGATAATGATTTTGAAATTAAATAATCTCGGTGAATCTACTGCCAATGAACTACAACAACTTGCGAATCAGCTGAATGTTCATATCGACAATATACTAGATTTCAGAAACATTAGAGCTCCACTAGGTGATGGAAACTACATTATATTGCTTCGATTAGATCCAGGTATTGGGCATTGGGTTTGCATGTGCAACAATGAATACTTCGATTCGATGGGGTTGGGACCTCCAAAAATTCTTGGGGCTATGAAATATAATGACAAACAGTATCAAGGAACATATGATGACTATTGCGGATTATGGAGTATATTGTACCTTTATAGTAAGCAACACAATCGACCTGATTTATTGAGAAATTTTTACGATTTGAATACCGAAATTTCACCTCGTTAATATAAAGTCATTATGAATAGAATCAGACGATACAGAGAACCTGAAGTGGATGAAGTTGCCCCAAAAGATGATAGAATCGATGTGATAATGAAAGAATTGGAGTTTTTGCGCTCTGAATTAGCTCAAAAAAATGTTGAATCATCCATTTCAAAATATTTCAAAGAGGAAATTTTCACAAAAGATAGAGGAACCTTATTCAAAGATGGATTTGTTAGTAAAGGAGATTATCTGGAAATCCCATTAACACTACTAAATGCCAGATACAAACAATGGTGCATTGATACTGGACATAATCGAATATTTATAGTTGATATTCTGACACTGATAAATACTTGCACAAATCAAGTTTTGCAGCAAGCTTCATACAGTAAGCTTTTACATGTCAGTACGATGTATTGCTTCAAAACAAAGATATAATACACTGAGTCAATTTCTTCGCAAATTTTTATCATGTCTGATGCTGTATGCTTATTTATTTTTGAATAATTTAGTCTAATATCTTCAAAATCGATATTATCGGTCTTATCGGTACTATCAGTGTCTATCGGTTTATGAAGCTTTACATCTTCAACACAACCAGTATCATCGGTATTGGATAGATACGTAATATCCATGCTTTTTGTGTCTATATATATAAATATATTTTGTATCTGCAGATGCTCAATCACCCAGATGGGTGATATCAAAAACCCAACGTTGGGTTGCACCATTTGATTGGCCGAAATGTGGATAGAGGGAAGGTCTCTCACTCACAGAAAGCAATTGGAAACATGGTGACGCTGTTCTGCGCGCTCGTCGGTGTGAAGGGAAACGCGTTCTCCATCGACATTGATGCGAGCAAGTCTGTGGACCACTTGAAGGACGCGATTCAGAAGAAGAATGAGAAGACAATCTCGTGTGATCCACGGGAACTAGAGCTGTTCCTCGCCAGAAAGGGCGACAATACATGGCTCGATAGAAGCGGCGCGGAAGCTTTGACGCTCGATGAGAATGGACGCCCGGAAGGGTTTGCACACATGGACGAGTTAAACTGGATTGTGGATTACTACGGCGAGGAATTTCAACCAAAACGAGGGGAAATCCACGTGTTGGTGGTGGTTCCTCCGCATGATGACCTCCGTTCCCCAGCCATGACTCTTCTCGAAGCCATTGTGCCTCAAGTTCTCACACATGCCCCAACAACTCTTACTGAACGGAACAAAGACTTCAAAGACAACTTGTGCAAGTTCTATGGATGCTACAGCCGAAAGAAATCCTGGGTGCGATGCATGCTTCTCGATGTTGCATTTCCGAAGTCGCTCGTGATTGCGTCGCATTTGTTTCGTCGCAGCAACGAATATCTGTCGCTTGTGATGATGCAGATATCTGACATCGACGATGTGAAGAATGGGTTGCTACTGTTCATGCCTTTGAAATACGCATTTGATCATTTCCAAATCAGCTTCATTCGCGACGATACGGACGAATTCCGTTTGAAGCTCTTTGATCCATCTATTCGTGGCACCCCTCTCATTGATCTCGCGGACCGCAACGGCAAAAAAGTGTTCAGCGCGGAGCAGACACGAGTGCTCCTCAGCAGCGTATCGTTGTCGAAAAAACCGTGCCGCTTTGATGTCCGGACAACGTTTGGTGACGTGGATGGCAGTGCTCTGACATTCACTGGTTTAGAACGACCGTTCTTTCGCTGTTTGAATCTACAGGCAAGAGTGGCGCGCATGGTTGCATTGAAGAAGAAATGGATCGATGCATCCTATGACTTTCAAGATTTTTGGTCGGAAGTCTCTCTTGACGACAAAATGGAAATGTTCCACCGTAGCATCGTGAATGCTGATGCAGCGTTTTTTGATTGATCAAACACCTTGAGTTATGCTTATGCGTGCGATTGAATGCAAGAATCTCATCACTGTGTCGCCATGCTCACAAAGCAGCGTATGGAGAAGCTCAGTATTTTTTTGAACATGGCACAGCAGAAGCATACCAACAAGCGCAAACACGATCAACCTGCAAGCACAAGGAAAACCTCTAAGGTGTCGTCGACCAACAAGCGTGTCCGAAAAAGCAAGACTTGCGCCAAGTATTTGGAAGATAAGGGTCGCACATGCAACAACCCAGTTGAGCCGATCGGTAAGACGTACTGCTCCACTCACAAGAACGAGAAACCAGTGTATGTAAATGCGAAGATCACACAAGAGGAAGTGGAGCTCCTCAATTTCGTTCGAGAACACGAATGTGTTGGACTGGCAATGCATCACCTGTCTCTATGGATTGAACAAGAGGAAGCCGAATCGACTGTCGATGAAGAGACTCTCCGCAAATTCGAAATCAACTATGCATGGCAAACTGATATGAACAGGTTCGCACTCACTTTTGGCAAAATCGGAATTTAGAGCAAATGGTAGTGAGAGGTATGTTAGGAAAAAAATCTCTGAGGATGATGTGATAAGACAGCTTGTCAAGGAATCAGGCTTCTCTCTGATATTTGCCTGTCCAAATCGATAGTGTTGTGATGGTAGCGATTTGCCGCCTACTTCTTGAACAATGTATTCATCCCCAAAAGCTTGTTGGTTCTGATCACCTGTATGATCTAATAACCTGTAGAGAAAGATCGTCACTCTAATACCAGGACCTCGACAACCAGTTGATAGGGTTCCAGTTTCCGATACCGATAAAAAAAGTAGCTAATTCTTATTTAATTCTGTGTCTTAAATTCGTTCAAGTTTTCTTTCAATGATGGACATTTATTCTTGATATATTCATTTTTACACATCCAACTGAAATATTGCTCATCGTTTTCAACAATCCACTTAACGGATTTGTTTTTATGTTTGCCCCAACGCATGATATAACTATCGTCTCCATCTTGGAACTTGCCTTGTAAAAATCGTTTGATATTCGAGTCTTCGGAGGATTGTTGGTTGTATAACCATCGACAGTATGACGCATCTTGATTATAAACTTCCTCAAGAGCCTTTCCTTTGTATTTTCCAAACTCTAAAATAACAGACATGTTTATGTGTAGTGTATGGTGTATCCCTATATACTATATAGAAAGATAATTCAGGATAACAATTTAATTAATTCACGATTGAATCATATTTTGTAATCTTGTTATGAAAAAGATACTGTAATTACTCCATCGCG